AAACTAAGAAATCAAAATTACATATTCTCTGTTTGAGAGTATTTGATTCGGGGTTTTTTCTCTCTGTCTTATCTTCCTTTTATATTCCCTTGATTATTTTTTCGTGACAAACTGCTTGGAAACTGCTTGATTACTATATAACTACCCACTTTCTTTATGGTGGCTAACTTGTCGTGGAACTGCCGTCTCTAACTGTTGTCATTACTCTTTGTTATTCAACCGCCTTCAACTTGGTTTCTTGAATCGTGGAATGTGATAAGATCACTCAATAACTACTTCAACAACTACTATTCTGGACAACCATAATATTTTATGCTTGCTAAAATCCTGGGCGATTCGAAGGTTTGGACGAGAATGGGGTCATCGCTCGGGGCGACTTTAAGGTATTCCATTCGCTCAGATTCTGGGCGTCTTGCAAGCTTGGGCGATGATGTTACCGTATTCGTGGGCTTCCATCGCATTCCTCAATAATCATGTTTGGACCTTTATCCTGGACTCTCCAATTGGGTTTCACTCTTTGGGCCATTTGATTTGGACTGCACTTTTAGTGTGTCAACACATATACAATAAAATATTCGTGAGCCCTCTTATGTGAGGGGGTATAACCTATTATGTACACCTTATGATGTACACATAGAATAATCCTTAATCTTATTATAAACTCCGAGAATTGAACCATGGTCAAGCCAAACAGAATAATTGTTAATTTTCATTCACTTCACTAAAGACGAAAAATTTGAACTATATAAAATTATAAAAACAATATTATCAATTTCCTGCAATTACATCCTCTTGATTTGTCTTTATGTCAGATGTCTAATAACTAGATCAGGCTAAAATGATCATTGCACTTTTTTAATTATGTTCTCACTTAAGTTTGCTTTTTCTTTATTAGTTTTTTCATGATGCAATCATGAAATTATGATTTAATTTCCTCAATTACAGAGCTTAGATTTAAACTTCTTCCTAAAGAAAAACTTAAGCATACTCATTAAATATCTAACAATGTGACGGATTCCAAACGTGAATGCTTGCTCACTATTGATTCCTATTACGTAGTAAGGTATTTGATCATATAAAAGTATATCACTCATTAGGATATTAAAGAATATAGAGTTCATAAGTAGTAATTTTGATAATCCGTAAGATAGAATAAGTTTTCCACAATCTATTCTAATTCGGATTAATTAGTTATTTGTTTGCACTTTCGAAGAAAAATTTCTATGGCAATGACAATGATTTTTGTCAATTAGATACTCTTCTCATCCAATAAAAAACTCTTTTTCATAAACAATTTATATATGCAATATAACATCTAAGATAATGTGTAATGCATGGTTGACCATGACTAGTTTATTATCAAAATAGAGAGTATTATTTTTAACTATCCATATTTGATAAAAGTGTAAGAAATTTTTTTTTTGTTAGTCCAAATTTTTATGTAAATGTGAAAAATATTAGGTTTTTAAAATGGTTGTTTGATCTTTTAATAAGTGAATAAAATATCGTATTCAAAAATTGTTCTCTATTTGTGCACATCCAGTTTAACTTCATAAAGTCTAACAAAAATATTAAGTCTCCATTTGGCTCTATTTTTTAAAATTCGTCTCCAAATATACATTCTTTTATTAAAATATAATTTTGCACGTGAATCAATAACTTTTCCGTATTTTGTACATTATTCCAAAACAAGACAAAAGGAAACACGTACACGCCTTTAGTATTTGTAGTTTTATACAAATGTCTTCAATTTTAACGCTATTTTTGTGCGAATGTGTGCTGCATCTTCTTAATAAACTTGATTTCTAGATATTCTAATCGTTATTGTCAAAGTTGACTCACGAGATGTCAGGAAACCAGGTTTGACATGTTGGCCGAATTAAATCAATTAAAAACAACCTACTGATAAGTGTGTAGGGAGTATGAAGGGTGAATGTTGGTGGGATTCTAGTTAAAAATAGAGAACTTGGAACTTAGCGAAGTGAAAGAAACGCAACATGAAACATTGAGATTTTTATTTATGATTCTTTTTTGTAACTGATTTCCTAATTATGCTAAAAATTTTCAGATGTTGAATACGCTCGATAGTATATATGACATCTTCGAGTTGATGATTGTGAGTTTTATGGTAACACTAATGTGGTCACAATTTTTTACGAGCAGAATTTTTCAGTTTGCCAAATATGCATATTTGTGAAATTGATAAGAGCTTGAAAGCGACATGATGTGTCATTTTTTAATTAAAAGATTATAAACTCTGATTTGATTTTTTTTCTAATAGAACGTATTTACGGCGTGCTTGTAAAAACATCATAAATTAATATGTAGATGTTACGTTAAGTGTTTGTTGGTGTTAGATAACAATTCAAGTTATGTATTAGAAATCAACATGATTTATTATTATTTTTAATTAAAAAATCCCACATTAGTTTGAGATATCCTGATGGAACATCTACATCTTTGGCTAAGGTTTCCACGTGATTATAAATACTTTTGAATTAAGGTTGTATTTCAGAAAGTGAAAAGACATGACATTGTTTAATTAAAAGGTCACACCCTGTATAATTTGATTATTTTTAAATAAAACATTCATTTTTCTTCTACCAGTCATCAAGCCAATCAACTCAACTCTTGTGACCCCGATCTCTCATTACATTTTAATTCTTCATGTTTACAATTGCTTGGGTGAAGGCACCCAGTCAACCAGGCTTTCTAAAAGTTCCCACCATAGGCCCTTGGCCAATCTTATGACAATAATGCTACACTGACAGGGAAGCTTCGACAGCCTTTGGGTGAAGGCATCCAGTCAGCCCGACTTTCTAAAAGTTCCCACCATAGGCCCTTGGCCAATCTTATGACAATGATGTTACACTGACAGGGAGGCTTTGATAGCCTCCCTGACCGAACACTCACGATAAGAGCCAAGTCCTTTTTTTTTTTTTTTCATTTTTTATTCACGCAAGTCCCACACGTGAGAGTCAGTCATGATTTCTATCACCTATTTTTGGTCACTTTAGCTTAATTCATGTTACAGTATGCTTGTCAGAGTGTTTTATATTAATATTCAATGCTTGCTTTTATTTTTGTTGGGTTGTATGCTAACTGTGATTCTATATTATAAGGTGAAATGTTATGTCACTAATTTCATTTATTAAAAGTAACATACCTTATTTCTAATTAGTTAAAATTTTGAACATACTTTTCACTTTTTTCGTAAAATTTCCATAGTGCCCTATTTTGCCCATAAAGTTTGACATATCGATTCCAAGTTAAAAAATTTGCTTCCAAAAAAAAAAAAAGAAAGAAAGAAAAAGCATAAGATTTTACACTAGGCACACAAATATTCATAACTTCTCCATATTTTATATTTAATACTGAACATATTATCCCTTTTAAATGAGATGGTTAACATGGTATACATATCAAAGTCAAACAAAGCTAGTCTCAATGCCAACCATTTAGCATGTGTCTCACATTTGATTAAACATTTAATATACTCTGTAGATGGCAGAATGTGCTGAAAACAATGACAACTCTGCAATGGAATAAGTTTCAAAATACCATTACAAACTTACAAACTTCAATGAAATCGATTTCTATGATGGAATTTGGTATTGGACAAGCCCTTGCAAATTGCAAGATTTTCAAATATTTTCATTGCAAATATCATTGCTATGATATAACATGTACATAAAGATTTATACAATAGATTATATAATGCTACATGACACTCTACTATTTGCTAGTTTAAAATACAATTAATATTTTCATCCAATCATTTCCCTTCACATCATATTACGTAATGCATTATGTATATTTTTTATGTAAAAGTAGCAAAATCCATGATAAAAACATCAAACATAACCATTTACTCATTTCAATATTAGAGAATGTAAACAAGAAACTAAAAGAACATATCCATTTATTCAATTCACCATTCTCACATTGATAAACTGCAATATAACTTTCAAACTGTTAAACCTCAGAACTCAAATACACCAGTATCTATGCCGATTCTTCAAACTGCTGGTTGACCAACGTTAATCCATTTATGCCGTCCCCCCGCAGACATATAGACATAGAATCACCAGGTACGTTGAATCCAGTCGATCTGTTTAAACATTTAAAAAGAGTTAATTTCATATTATGAGAGCATTATGAATAGCAAACAACATGACATGGACAACACAGTTTGTTCTAGTCTCGACAGACAAACTGGAAAAACACAGAGAGTTTTATTTTGTAGAGATGACACATTGCAATGTAAAAAAAATTGCAGATGATGTTCACAGAGATATAGGACTTTACCAAGTCTATCCAAATTATTTGAAGAACAAAATTGGACAGAATCACGTACATAAAATTTCAGTATCCTTGAGATCAGTTTCAATTAATTTCCCTACAGACGTCATCAGGTAACTAATTGGAGTACAAACATTTGATATTCTAAAATGAATGTCTAGGACAAATTTATCAATCAAAATTTGAATCAACATACTGACCACCTTTTCATATCTGTATTTTTTTTTTCGTTATTTAAGATGGTTTCCACTTCTCATCCAGAGTTGAGAGAAGGATTTTATTTTATTTATTTTTAAATAGTAAGAACCCAATAAACTCGCAAAAGAACATCTATATTATGAAATAAACAGTGCACTGGTTGGATAACATAGCATGAAATGAGTTTCAGAAGGTTGATACTGAGATAAAAATAAAAATCAGCAGTCAAACATTTTGAGACACTATTGTGCACTTCGCATGGAAGTATTGATATTAAATCTAATATGTAGCAATTTTCCTAACAACAATATCACTCAATATCAACAACTATAACTGGTGGCATCCAAATTACACGTGGATGGATCACTATATATTTGAAAATATTTTATAAGAGATCAGGTATGGATATCAAAATATAGTACCATGACCAACAACCCAGATGTCCACTAATAATGTAGATATTTTATATTCCTGCTTAATTGGTTTATGAGGTCAATGAGGGTTTGAAAGGAGGAAGGATTGACGATGGTAGTCAACATAAAGCACTAAAATATCTTTTACAAATGAAATTAAAAAATAGCTAGTACATGAAGTAATGCCAAGAAGAAGATGATCTTGCATCGATTTAGTATTAGCTCCTGTCACATCCTTGAGGGAGAAAAAACTCGGAGTATACACAACTGCTTTAGAAATAAATCCCATCCTATGAAGCTTAAGAGTCTTCAATTCTACACTTTTAGGATCATAATATATTATCTGGTTCTCAAGGAATGTAAAAAATTTCTCGCAGCAGCCTATCAGCTGGAAATAGCAAGAATTCCACCTCCCCAGTGTTGGAAAATTGATAGAGATCAACTTTGACCAAGATTTTTGAACACCGCAACTCTTCATTACCCATATGTCAATCAAATCAACCCCAGAAGTAGCAGATAAACATAGACTATCTCCAATAATTCCCAAGCTTATTCTACTAGGACGATTAATTGAAGGTAGAGGAAGAGATTTGAAGCACTCACTGCTAAACTCAAATGAGAGTACAAGATCATTCCCGCTAAGTCCGTCTCCGATCCAATGAAGGACCCATTAAGATAGATTGGAGACGTTATGCATTGGAAGCTGGGAGCAAATCCAATGTTTCTCCATGTTTTGGTCCCAAGGGTATGAATCTCAACCACCCTATTAGGATAGAATGTTGTTCCTTCAATTTGAGATTTAGCATGCCGATTTTTTCCTGGAGACAACACTCTAAGAACCTTATATTGATTAATCTGTTGACAAAATCCAAATCCACAAGTCACCGTACTCTCGTCAGCATTGCTAGCTGGTGGAAGTTCTATATACTCATTTGTGACCGGATTGCATACAACGGTTGGGTTATTATGGGAGCGCTCAAACAAACAAAGGAAACCGTTACACGAATTCACTATAATGATCTTGTGATTCTTGGTATCCAGGTTAATGGTTCGCTTCCTCTTAGTATTCCCCTCGATGAAAGCAATCGCATGAGCGTCAACATTAAGCAAAGGACTCTTCAATTTGGTATCAAGCTTCAAGTTTACTTGCTGCCCAGCTTCAATCACGCTGATTACAGATGGCTCCATAAAGTAAAGCATTCTTGAAATTCGTCCAACATCCGAGGGTCAGATTAGAATGCCAGCTTTTGAATGTGCAAAGTGATGCTTGGCAAAGTGAGGGTTAGAAATTAGATGTTGCCAAGTTGTGCACACACACTTGCACATTACAATCCCTTTAATGGACAGATGTAGCAGAATTTCTAAAATGATGAGCTCCGGTAAATCCATTATGGACGCTCTCGAACTTCTACGTGTTGTTAAGCCCATTATTAGGTGAAATCTGAAGAAGCAACAGAAAATAGAAATATTGGCAACAATAGAATAACAATGTTATTTTACAGCATAGAGTAAAAGCATATATTGATAAAAAACTAAAGAAAAACACAGATGTATTTGCTATAACTAAGAAGCAAATAGACTCATTTATAAAAAACAAGGACGAAATGGATATGATACATTAATTTGAAACTTTCATCCGAGGTTAGGTTTTTCAATTTTTCCTACTCGTGTTTATCCCCTTGTAATCAAAAACAAAAGTTTTCTTGAATCTTTTCCTTCCCTTTCATCACCAAAATCATATAAAACAGGCCTTGTTGACACAAATAAAGAATTATAATAAATTAAATGTAAATGGATATTCTATTACAGAGAAAAAGAAAAACCTTAACCCATTTGTATCCTGGATATGCAAAGGCCAAGAAACAAGGATAAAGGGGAAGATAGTATTTAATTTCTCGTTTTATTTTTTCGACTTGC